AAGAGTGGATCCAGGAAGATAAATCGTAGAAGCAGATGGAAGTATTGTTGCTGGTATCTTCGATTAGTCAGGGAGCAGATGGATCCTTATTTTTCTAGTAGGTGCCTAGATCTAGGTAGAAAAGAGGTCCATTGCTCCTAACAAAGAGAAGGTGGCCTAATATGTGTTCTCTGACCTTCTGGGAGACTAAGGGTCCCTTCCCCCAGCCACAGCTATGGCGAGGCATGTTACAGCATGTCTGTAATTCTAGACATGTCATGGCATTTCTACAGATTTAAGTGAATCCTAAAAAAAGAGAGAGGGGAGAAAAGGGTTGGTATGTGACTGGAAACATTAGAGATCATGGTGTGGGGCTTGTGAAAACAACTATTCCATATTTGGAAATGGTTATAGAAAAGTATCTTTAAGAACAGATAGACATTAATAGAGTGAGGGCTTTGCTACACATTATACTTTAAACCTCTCAAATGTGATCAGTGTTAGTGTTAGCTTGAATTTAGAATAGTTCAATGTTCAGGCTAAAAACCTTCTGCTGTCCCCAATCTGCACAGATGTGACTGGCTACTAGAGGGCTGGTGAGCAGGGGCCTGACTAGGATCTACAGCTGTGAGTTGCCACAATAGGTCTGGCAAGCCAGGACAGGCTTGTATTCCTGTTCTAGGTGGGGGTGGGTTGCAGAGGTGGTTTGTGGGGAGGAAGCATGAGGCTTGAAGGGATAGAGTTTTAATGATGGGGACTGGGTAGTGAAATGGAAGGTGGAGAGGCAATGAGTGGGAATGGCAGCTGGGGGACTGCGTGGTGAAATTAAGGAAGTCAGATACTGAAGCCACTAAACTAAAAGAAGAAAAACAATAATGTAAAAAGAAAGAGTAAGTAAATTATAGAAAGTCTCTTATTTTAATCAATTTGAATTGGGATTGGCATTGGCATTGGGCTTGAGATTGGGTAGCAATATCTCACAGGGATATTGTCCTTATTCCAGGGTAGAAAACCCGGTTCACGGAAATCCCAGTCTTGCTCCCTACTTTGTTCCCTTCTCCAGCCCCACTAGCCATCCCTCCCAGACTGGTCTGTGCCCCTGTGAGCTGCCTGCTAGGTCAGACCCCCAGGGAAGGAAGGAGGAGTTAACTTGGTATCAGTACCACCCCCTAGGCAGTCGAGTTCAGGGGGTGTAAAGTTTGTCCATACAGAACAGGAGGGTTGGGGGAGGGGACATTGCATCCTGGGATGCTGGAGGACTGAAACTTAGGTGGTTTATCTCTGTGGAGTAGCCACACATTCATGGGACCCAAACTGTGTAACACAGATCAGAGATAAACCTGCCCTGGAGTGGAGTAACTTTGAGATGCAAAAAGGGTGTTTAAAACAGGTTTACATGTTTTACATGTAAACCTGTTTTAAACACCCAATGTACGGACAGTCCAGGGTTTATGAGCTCCCTGTGCTGCTTAAAATTACTATGCAACAAAGCCCTCAGACCTGCAGCTGATGCCTGCCACAGATGTATGACACTTTTCCCAACTGAGGACCTATCCCTAAAATTTAGAACTACTTTATCCAATATATGTCTCCATGTAAGGAGAAATCCTTGGTCTGTGGAAGTCAGTGGGAAGCCTCTCCATAAATATGATTCTTACTGAAGTCATATTTTTATTCATAGTCTTCTAAGACTTAAGGCAACCTCCTACTTGTTTGTTCCAATTAAATCGATTAAATATTTACATAAAAGGAGGGGTTTTTTTTCCTAATGTGCATGTGTTTTAAGGAAAGCACTATTCTATTTCTTTTACATTAATTATAATTGGTATTGGTTTTCTTTTCCTGTAAGCATAGGAGTTAATATAAACATAGCCCAAATTTTCATGAAGTCCAGCGGTTTCTGTTTTGCTGGGAAGACAGTAAACTTGTCTGTATCATGTGTCGCGGCCTGTACCTGGGTCTGGCCATATAGTCACTGTTCAGAAGCTTATACTTCAAATGTTTTATAGAAATAGATGCTCTCTAACACTTCTACCTGCCTGTGTTTCATAGGAATATAAAATCCAATGTAAATTAGTAGAAAAAATGTCCAGTTCCTCCCATCTTAAATGTTAATAAGTAGCTATTATTTTCCTCTTTACAATGAAGAGGTGACTAAATAAATTGAAATCAACAAGGGGAAAATGTAATTTTATTCTCTTCTAAACAGGCTTATAAGTATTGTGTGAAAAGGCAAAATGTATATTATGCACTCTCTTCTCCCCACCTACATTGCCTAAATATAATGGGAGTACTGGAGGTTATGTTTCATTGCCCAAATTTAAGTGACTAGTTAAACTCCTCCCAAAATAAATTATGCTAGAAATGCTGATGTATCTTTGGTTATGCTGCTACCAGATGCTACAATAATTCATCATCTACTAAAATAGAAACTTTTTTATACTGTTGCTTATACTGAGCCTGATCTTATGTCATGGCCTTTTCTTTTTTTCCTTTTCTATTTTGTACACAATCCTGAGATACAGGCTGGCTTCCCTAGCCTCGGTTCTCCAACCAATATTTTGTATTTATTTAGGTGGGGAGTTTTTCCATTGATTTAAATGGAGACAGGATCAAGCCCTGAAAATGTTTCCTAAGAATTCACTGCTTGATGCCTTCAAAGAATAAGTTTGTCATAATTATGAAGTAGAAAATTACAAAACAATACAGGAAGAAACCCTGTGTTCAGAGTTCACTAATTCATTCTGTGTTTTGTGTATTTAATACCTAACCTCTCATCCTGCAATGACTTACACATGTACCTTGATTCTGACTGCATAACTTGAATCCAAGTTTTGGAACTTTGCCTTTACCACAAAGTAAAATAGCTTATCAAGGCTGGTAATTGGGATGGTGGATTTTTGGAGGAGATTCATTTTCAGTGTAATGAATAATGGTATGCTAGTGAGAATGAACAATGAGTAGTATTTATCACAAGTGGTTTAAAAACAATTAAGTCATTTCCACTGAGAAAATAAGTCCATATGGGATGGGAATTTTATAATACAAAAAGTAAACAGAGCCATAATTATATGTATAATTTTACAGATGCATTCTGAGATAGAAATAGTGACTGAACACACTCAAATGCTCTGACTGCTTTTACTGTTCCAACAGTAAAAAGGGCCAGCCATGAATTGCCATTTTTGAAGGCACATTTACCCTGGTGAAAGTGGGCCTTACTGTCAAAGCAAATAATACCTTGCATTCTTTTCTCCAAGAACAGATTGTCAAAAAGCAGCATATTTCTGGTGGTAAAACTTTTTCAAAGGGACTGTATTTATTAACTAAACATGTCAATCAATAAATATTGCCTTCTTGTCCTGGATTTAGATTTCTGTCCAGCAACTTCCAATGACACTTGGAATGTGTCTGAACTGCATAATGCAGAACAGTATAGAAATGTTCAAATTATTTCTACATGAGCTAACTCAGGTACCAGCAGCAGTGTAGTTACAGGTCATATATTGCTGCTGGTACCTGAGTTAGCTCATGTAGAAATAACTTGAACATTGCTATACTGTTCTGCATTGTGCAGTTCAGACACATTCCAAGTGTCATTGGAAGTTGCTAGACAGAAATCTAAATCCAGGACAAGAAGGCAATATTTATTGATTGACATGTTTAGTTAATCAGAACTCTGTACCAACATGGGTTTACTGCCACTGGGTGCATCTACACATAGGCTTTAGCCTATTTTAATGAGCATTAAAGCATCACAAAAAACTGTGCTTTTTCACTAATACACATTAAAAATATCCTAACATGCCTTTTTCTAGTACCTCACAATGGAGGTTCTAAATTTAATGCACAGTACCAAAAGTGCATTAATGAACTTGTAGATGTACTCTAATGCCTATGATAGAGGTAGGGTGGGTATGTTTACATCTTACTACATCGTACAAAATAGACACACCTTTGATCATAAATATAACAATTTTGAGGAGTACTTAAGCTATAGTAACAGAAGAGTGCTTTACAGGAAGACAGGAAGACAGTAACTAGTACAGTAAAAGTTCTTTCTTAAATCAGTTTGGCACACTGACGGAGAAAAATATGCCAAGAATATCCCTATTAACTGACAGTTCATCCATAACAGATTATTATTATTTGTAAAATGCTGGCAGTTCTTTTACTGTCAAAAATGAATCCCAGTGTTTATTGTCTAGTAGACAAACATAAAAAGATAGCCTATGATAGGAAGCCCAGAGGCAGAAGTTATCTTAAATAAAGAGTTTTTTTCTTTTTTTCTTTTTTTAAACAGTAAGGCATCTCTCTTTCTCTTTTGGTAACCCACTCAGTATGTAAATAACAATTATGGTCTCTTTTAAACCTAAATGAAAAGGCAGCAAGGCTAAGAGGTAAGGCTAAAAATCCCAACTGACGTTCTGGGTCAGATTTTACAGTTGGGTGCACACAGCCCTCACTGAGGATACAACGCACGTGGCTATCATTTGTGCTCTCAGACACATGCTGCTGCAGTCCCTGAAGGCAATATTTGCTTCCCTCTCTGCCTAATTCCCTCTCTGGGCAAAACTCCTGGTGATTTCATTTGGATTTTGGTCAGAGTAAGGTTGTTGATCCTGGACCCTCGGAGACACATTCTTTTTTAAATTGTGAGCGTTGGGTTTCACTGATGTTACAAGATCATATGTGTAATCCTCAGAGACCAAAGCTGTCCGGAGAGGTCCATTATAAGCCCTAAGGCTGCTGTAAGTTACTCGAGGAATGTATGTAACAACATTCCTTCAAAATCTAGAAACCTGTTTCATATTTCTTTGGGTTGTTGTTTAGAATCTGTTATTCTGTAAGGGTATTCTTTCTGCTCTGTTCTTTGATTTGACAGTGTAATGCCACATTGTTAACATACCGTAGCTAACTGGAGAATGTATTGTGGCTTATGTTTGTCAAGTCATAGGAAGTGAATACACATATAAAATACACATGGCATAATTTACTGATGCCTGAATTAACTCAGTATTATAAAATTATAAAAACACCTTCCTCATTGACTGTGGTACTGTGGATACACTGATATCCAGGGATACAAAAATGAGAGTGGATTTTGGCCCACACTGTTTTAATTTTAATGTGGCTAGTTGAGAAAAAAGACCATTATATAACACGCTAACAATTTATTTTAAAATCAAGAATGATTTCATTGGTGTCATCTGAAGAACTATCATAGTAAAAGCAAGAAATCTAAATAGCTGTTTCTTGATTTAGGATTCCTTATATTTCCCCTGAGTTTTTATGCCAGACTAATGGACATTTACAAATTCTTCTCTTCAGGATTACCGAGTTAATATCTTCCTAAGACAGAAGTGGAATGACCCCAGACTTAAACTGCCCAATGACTGGAGGGGTTCTGATACTTTAACAGTGGATCCCACAATGTTTAAATGTCTCTGGAAACCAGATCTCTTCTTTGCAAATGAAAAGAATGCCAACTTCCATGATGTCACTCAAGAAAATATTCTTCTTTTTATATTTCGGGATGGAGATGTCCTAGTCAGCATGAGGTATCGTGTTATTTTTAATTATAAATACTTATCTTTTTTTAACAGATAAGGATATCATCTTCCTGCATAAATAGATTCATATGAGATGCATATAACTTTAATGCTTAATAATATGTATAATTTACATGTGAGAGACACGGATTTTTGTGAGTGATATCTTTTATTGAACCAACTTGCTTGTCAGTAACCTGATAATATCTCTTATTACCAGTTTTAATTTATATATGGAGTGTTTTATAAGCCTTTGTTCTAGCTGCTATTTAGCTCTGTTGCATCTACTTTTTTCTCAGACACTTGAGGAAGGGGACAGTGGTACCTGAAAGCTCATGTGTCCCTCCCAACTATACAGTTGGCCCAATAAATGCTATCACCCACACAAATCTTTGCCTCTCATCTTTTTCCTGGATCGTCACAACTACAACGTTACCCCAACATTATAATTTGCATGATCATATTTATAGCTGATATTAAATAAATTGTAAATAAATGATTCAGAGAAAATTCTCATAAAACCATAGATTCTAAAGCATAATGATATTTTTACTAATATCAAGGTCTTTAAAGCATATATTTGCATTAGATCATTAGAGATGGAAATTACACATAAACCAGTATAAGAAACTGGAAGCTGGTTCAAATCTGTAACACAACAGAAGTTTAGTGCATATAAACTGCTTTCAAAATGGCTGTTACCAGTTTAAGATCAAACTGGATGGATGTAGTGTCAGACCTAACTGATTTAGATTAAATACATTTATTGAACTTCTGCCCCAGATCCCCTCCAGATTCAAGTTAACTCGCAGATCCCCAGAATCCCAGGATACTTTCCACCTCCCCCACAAACCTGTCCTTGCAGGGTGAGCGGGCTAGCCTTGCCCAAACTGTCTGCTCCAGCCAAACAGGGAAGAGTGCTCTAGCACCCCCTGGCTTCTGACCTGGGCCACTGCAGGCATGTGGCTGCATTTCTGGAATCAAAAGTGAATGTCTGTTCACTTGCTTATTGGTTCAATCTATGTAGCTTAGACTAACCTGTGAAGATTGAATTCATAGATTTCATAGACATCAGGGCTGGAAGGGACCTCGGAAGATCATCGAGTCCAGCCCCCCGCCCAAAGGGCAGGAAGTCAGCTGGGGTCATAGGATACCAGCAAGATAAGCATCCAGTTTCATCTTGAAGGTGTTCAATGAAGGCGCTTGAACCACCTCCAGTGGCAGGCTGTTCCAGACCTTGGGGGCTCGGACAGTAAAGAAATTCTTCCTTATGTCCAGCCTGAAACGATCTTGAAGTAGTTTGTGACCATTCGACCTCGTCATCCCTTGGGGCGCTCTGGTGAACAAACGTTCCCCCAGAT